TGAAGACAAAAAATAATAATAACAATTTTATACCAACCTCATATGCTAACTTCTGAAGCCATATGCATTTGCCTAGCTGATAGCTCTCCTCTTCCTGAGAAATCAGTTCTGTACAGAGCTGTGGCACTGTCAACAACCATTAGAGCAAACCTGCAAATGTAGATATTCAGATTAGAAATTCTGACCAAGCTACCTCCATAATCTAGATGGATAAAATTTGTCATATTTGTATCTCTTGTTAATCTAGATGGATAAAATTTGTCATATTTATATCAAAAGAAAGATAAACAGGTGCTAGAGGGGGGGAGCATCTCACCTAGGAGTTATTTAGCTATTCCTGAAGTTCAGTTCAGCACGTCAGCATGTTGTGGTGATCTATGGCCTTGATGTGAAGCACACCTCCCTGATTATGACAAGGACAAGGAACACTTGCTGCAAATGTACAAACTAAATTAGAAGGGTGCAAAAAAGATGGACATGAATGGCCAGCACGCATGGTATCCACACATGTCACTTCTTCCTTCAGTCCTTCCATCCTTTGTAACAATGAGCAAGTCCAACACAAAAGTATACCTAAAGGGACTCCACATTAGTTGAAATCAAATTGGTAATCCTCCCAGAAGCAAGCTTCCTACGACTATCATTAGTTAATCGCAACGAGTTGTGAAAAACAGTTCCAATCTGTATAACAACAAAAGTTCAGACCACGTGTTATTACAAATCAGGAATGATTCCCAAGCCAACCTAAGTAGAAGAGTGATCTCAAGAAAGTGGAACAAGTGATTCCAAGGATGCCTACCCACACGCATGACATTCTGAGAGTATTGTGCCTCAGCAAGAACCCCCCGTGACTGAAAAATAGAAGAGTCATAAGTACCATAATTGTTGGTTGGAAGTTCAAATACACATGAAGGAAATGAAAATGATCCATACCACTCCTGCAAAAATTGAGAAGGCATAGATGTACCCCGTTCCGAGATGGATCACCTTTTTCGTAGACTGTCAAAAAAAGAAAAAAATGGTTCAAAGCAAATAATTAAGGCATGTTAAGATATACATAATCACACTGTCTGTTCCAGAATCAATGGACTTCAGTAGCACTATTAATGATGGGGGCGAGTGATTGATGAAAAGAAATCTCTACCAATTTATACAAATTTTTGTGCATAGATACATAAATAAGCACTTCCATGTTATTGGCTTCAAATGTCATGGAATGAGAAGCAAACCTCTAACAACAGGTCAATACGAGTGGACCAATAAATTGAGAAGCATCATTATCAATCTACAAAGTTGTGAGAAAAAAGAGAGTTGCTGAGAATGTCAGTGTGTTTATAACAGAAAAAATACTGGAAAGGAAACCACAGGGCAAATCATCTAAAGAAAACGTACCTTGAAAAATCCTCCCAGCGAGAACCTAGAACTGCTGGCCGCGTCCTACCTGCAGGGATGAGATAAAAAAATGCATAACAAAACTGAACAAAGGGCTCACCTGAGGATGAGGAAAAAATGCAAGAGAGTGGAGAGGAGAAGGAAGGGAGGGACGCTCACCTGAGGTGAGCGCACGGGCAGCACGTGTGGTCAGTGGCGGGGCTAACTAATATAAGACTTAAAATTTTACCCTGCCCAAGTGTTCAACCAATAGACTCAAATAATACGTAGAACATTGAAGGTAGAAAAGTACCAAATTACGAGTCTTCCATGACAAAAAAAAGAACCATACATGTCTTCATGAATTAACACCACTTCCACTTGTACCGACATCCTCAATTCTACATAAAAAATTTCAACATCTCAGCCATTTATAAAGCAAGATAACATTATGTATTGAAATAGACTAATACAAGTAAACAACACGCACCTTGAGCCCTCGTTTGGCAAATTCATGGAGCAATTTTCAAAAAGAAATGAAACTAAAGAGTAGAAATCAACCTATTTCATATTTTCATGGATCCAGCAGACAGCAGGGGGGTGGGGGTGGGCAGCAGCCAGCAGCCAGCAAGGGCCACGGGGCCAGGTCGCCAGGAGGCCGGCCGGCAGGTCGGCTCAGCACTCAGCAGCAGTCCTAGCCAGCAGGGGCCAGGGGGCCAGCCGGCCGGCGGGGGCGGCGCAGCAGCGGGGGGTGACTGGGTGAGGCCGTGAGGGGCGACGGGCCGGCCGGTGCGGGCGCGGCGCGTGGCCGGCGTCGCCGCGGCGCAGGGAGGCGGACACGGACAGGGGGGGGGAGGGCAGGTAGGCGCTGTGGGTGCGGAGGTGCAGCCGGGAGCCGGGACACGGACGGAGGTCGCGCTAGCGCCGTCGGCCGTCATGGGAGCAGATCTGGCGGTGGCGGAGGGGAGTCGCGGAAGCGGGAGGGGAGGCCAAGGCTCCAAGGTGGAGGCTGCCCTAGTGCCTGCCGCCAGCGAGGTCGTGAGCCCACGAGTGCCTGTCGGTGCGGTCGATGCCGCGAGACGGAGCCGCCGCTGCTGCAACGGCTCGCCGCGACGGCCATTGGCCTTTCTCGTCCCTCGCCTCCTCGGGGTGGGCTAATGGGTGAAAGGCCTTTTTATGCCATTTTATAAAGCAATTCCCCCATCGCTCATGGGCCTCGCCCCGGGCTGCAGCCCGGGGCCCAAATCCGCCAATGCGTGTGGTCAATCTATGATCAACACAGCCGCAGCGAGAGTAACCACCGGCTGCGGCGGCTCGGGCCCCCCGCCGCAACGACGACCGGCCGGCCTGGCGTCTCCTCGTCGCGCACGAACACGAGCGTGGCGACTCGGCCGCCGTGCGTCCAGGCCCTGGCGTCGTCGATGTCGCAGCGGAGAGGAGTTGGGAGAGGAGGCGCGCGGCCGTGGGGAGCTCTGCTAGACGCGCGCCGCCGCCGGCCGAAACCCTAGCCATCCACCGACTGGTAGAAGGAGACGGAGGCCCTCGCCGAGGACGAATAGAGGGGCGTGGTGCTGGCCGGAGTGGAAGAGGAGGTGTTGGCCGGAGAGGGATGCTGTGGGCAAAGAGGGAGGCGCTGCCGCCGGCCTAGTCGCGAGTCGCAGCTCCCGAGAGGGCGTACCCAACCCGCGACCACCGGTCGGACTGGTCTGTGGCCGCCCGCCGCCACCCTCCCTTCACCGCTGACCCCGGGCAATGGCGATCTGCGCCGCCGCGCCCAGTGTCGTGCCCCTGCGTGCGTGTCCGCGTACTGCGTACCCCGAGAAATCGCACGAAGCGAGCGAGGTATCGCACGGTCGTAGGCAGACGGGCACAGGCACGAGCGAGGATGACGGCGCGGCCGCACGGCGGGATCTCGCGAGGGGGAGCGCACACACGGGAGAGCGAGTGCGATTTCGTGAGGGGGAGCGCACGCTCGGGGGAGGGGGGGCGAGCGGGATCTCGCGATGAGAAGCAGAGCAAGATCTCGGGACTCAGGCGAGGGCGACGGTGCGGGCGCGACGAGCGCAAGGGCAGAGCGAGGGCAAGGGATCGAGACCTGGGGTCGCGGGAGGAAAGGGCAATGGCGCGGGGGGAGGTATCGCACGGGATAGACAGACAGGATGAAGCTGAAATGTCGCACCAAAAAATGTCCATACTTTGTTTTTTTTAGTTGTAGGAAATTTCTTGCATGAACTCGATGTAGCTACATGTCTGTCTTCCGTAATCTTGAAAGCCTATGCAAATGAATGTAATTATGTATCAGTACTAAATTCTAAATTTATCTGTGCTGCAAGTTTCAACCTAAGAAAACATCATTTCTGAGTTCTCTTTGTTTTTCTGATTATTCTGTATAATTTTGGTCGCCCGGGACTTTATCCCCGTGTCTCCCAGACGGCACCCGGTAATTTTACCCCGATGAGAATTCATTCTCCTGAGGGGGACAGGGGTGACAAGTTCAGTAGAGAATTCCCCTTGGGGGCTTAAACCCACGTGTGTTTTTTTAACCCAGCACCCAAAGAGCCCTCAGAGGTTCATCGATCTCGGCGATCCCGTGGCATTTTGGCTGTAAAATGCTTGAATCATGCATGTCGGTGAGGATGAGGAGTAACTACGTTTAATTTTCAATCAGTTAGGATTCTTGCCTTTCTATATGTTTAAATAATGGCTGAAGCTTGTGTGTCTCTGTTGCGTGTTGTCTCCGCACACGTGGAGGCCATCCATTCGTTCCCTCCAGAGATGGGCTCTCGCTAATTTTCTCCGTCCGCGACGCACGACTGGAGAAAACGGAGCCGCACGCAGGAGAAAACGGAGCCGTCCGCTAGTCCGTCTCCCTCCGCTTTCCCCTCTCGGCCTTTCAGCTCGAAGCTGGTCTGCTCGCGTATGGGCGTATGGCGTGAGATTCAATCGAAGGAAACGCCAAATCCCATGGTGATAAACTCGATTGGGGCAGCAACGACCTCAAGCTTCATAGCGGTGAGTTGATTAGATTTACTGGAACCTAGATTGTAGCTGCGCATTTTGATTTGGATTGCTTGGATCTCGATTCCAGTTTTCGGATTTCTGATTTGTGAGGTCCATTCTGCCTTTCCTCTTCAGGTCCATCGAGCTGACATCACACCATGGTGGAACAACGAGCTGGGAGATGTCATTTTGCGTTGACTCAGTTGCGTATTCAAGATAGTTGGCAGCAGATCGTAGATGCTGTTGAGCATGCATGAAGGTGACGGTCTAGCTTTCAGGGCCTCTCTTGGCCGAATATGGCATCAAGGCTTTCTCTTCCCCAGCAATTTTTTGTAAGGTTAGTTGTCTAGTGCTAGTCCCTAGTTTTTCTTGATAAAGATGCGCTCTTCCGCTTTCAGTCTGATGCTATCAAATCAACCATATCAGTTAGCTAAAAAAAACAAATCGGAATACTTGTTTCTTCAAAATTTGCCCCACATCACAAAAAAAAATTGCAGTCTGGATAACATTGAAATTACTGAATTAACAAAGCATGAGAGCCTAGATCCTTGCTATGATAAATTGTTCCATACATAAGATTCCATGGAAAGTGCACAGAACTCATCCGTTGTCCTAAGGGGATGAGACCTTCACTTAAAATTGGCAAACACATTATAGGGATTTGTATTGAATGACTGAGTGACATTTCCTTGTTGTGTATCTTGACCATGGTTCGGGGTACCAAAGAATGAACTGAAAGGCGGACGCACAAAAGCATTTCCATGTGGATAGTAGCCCGGATAGTAGCCTGGTATCTGTATTTGATTTTGGTACATACTACTCCCTAAATGTCCCTGTACCAAAGAAAAAAGGAATACTAATATCAGTAATCAAGATACGAGTAGAGTCTTGATAGTATTAAATATAACTGAAATCTCGTACCAGGTCAGTGTAGTGTGGTTGCTCATATGTTACATTATCTACTTCCACTGCAGGACCATAAGCCTTTGGGTCATTCTTCCCTTTCTTTTTGTCGTCGTGTGTTTGCTTCTGTTGCAGAACCAGAAGCCATTGGGTCATTCTTGGTTTTTTTTCTGCCGTGTTGCCTTCTCGAAACCACCAACTGGTCTCTCAGATCCATGAATTTCTTTCTCCTTAACCTTCAAGCCTTTTGGTTTTATAGCTTGGTCTTCTTCTTGTGTAGCTACAAAATAGATAATAATTAGATTTTGGTGTCATATGTATGGTGTTCACGCAATTATTACAAAGGCTATACCGGAATGGCCAACCTTGTGGGTGAGATAAGGTACCGACATCTGAATCAGCTTTAATTTTTAGGCTTTTCTCCACATCTTCTGCTAATTTCTCTGCATTATTCACAGCCATAAAGTATGTTTCATCAGATTCTGCAGCTCGAGCCGCAAGATATGGACGACGGGCAGTGCATCGGCGTTCAGGCCGAGAGGGATGGCGGTGACAGCTGCATGCAGGCCGCATGATCACGATGCGGGTGTACTTCATGTACAAAGATCCGCTACTCCGTGTACGATAAAAACGATTTCTCAGAGGGACTAATGCAATCTGCTAGATGCGTATTAGTGTTATAAAACATGTCGGTTTGATTGAGTTCGACTTCTTCAGCGAGTCGGCTTCGTTCAATTTGACTACAAGTCAATACCATTTGCGCCACCTTCTATGAGTGTTTGTTTCCTGCAAAGATGCGTGTCTTGGCTTTGCCTAACTTGTAAAGCCCCATCATGTTTATGAGATTAAAACAAAAAATCCCATGCATATCTAAGTACGTGGCGGGTATATGCCGTGCATGTACGTGACTTTCTACTACGCGTAGAAAAATTAGTGAAAAAAATAGCATGACTCGATGGTCGGAACAACGTGATCTGCAAGATGCGATTCTTTCATACCTCGTAGAGAGGATCCTAATTTGATCTACTTCACATACCGCGTAGGGCAGTGGTTAGTAGATACATATAGCGCAGGGCGTTTGGCATTGTCGTAGAACTGGCTGCTTGACAGCGACAGTGCATATCGATGCAATGCAGATTAATTGCAGGTAGAGATAGGAAATCCGTTCCACTAACAACGTCGGGGATGTTGACGTCGTTGAAGTAGTCGCGGCGGGACGTCAATACGAGCGTCGGCATCGAAGATCAGTGGCGGCTTCAGCGGCGATGTCGATATAGAGCTTGTCGTGCTGATAACGTGTTATAAAACATGTTGCCAGTGGTTAGGACATTTCCCTTTCCGTCTCTCATAATCAAAATAGTAGATGAAAGTAAACCACATATACACAAGAGATAGGGAGACTATTCTTTATTCCTCTAAATATTTGTGATTACAACATAGAGCTTCCACATATATATAGTCCTACCAAGACCTAAGAGTTTGATAAGAGCCCACATATAAACGGATTAGGATTAGAATTCTACCTTCTCCTTTCTTTATAGGATAGAATCCGTATGTTTTACAACAGTGCGTTGCGGACTGAGAAAATTAGCATGGGCCCATCTCTGAGGGAACGAATGGATGGCCTCCACGAGTGCGGAGACGGAAGGGGACACGCAACGGAGACAGACAAGCTTCAGCCTTAAATAATGTGGTTTTAGCTAGGCCTAATTTGGAAATTTTCTCGGACTTTTTTCCTGGGTGGGTAATCCATGGGGATATCATTCTAATTGTCATTCTAGTTCTTAATGGGGAGTTTTACGTCCCTGGGTTTTGCTCCCTTGCTTTCAAAAGAGCCCTTAATGTATTGCCTTCCTATGTTTGAGTCATAGCATTTTTCTAGGTAATGTGCTTCACTCTGATTCAACTCATACAGCAGCAAAGCTTATGTTGCAAATAAGTATTAATTGGCAAATGTGTTTGTGCATTGCAACAGGAGAAGAAAAACTATCAATTTGTCAGCATTCCTTACCTAGGCGAGGTGCCTGGCTTGGGCGAGAAGTAGAAGTGTGGTTTAGTTTTTACAAAAAGTTCTCTCTCTTCATTAAGCCTGGCAACACAGACATTGCAGACCCATTCTGGGCCTAAGACACGAACGCTTCGAGCCCTCTTCCTCTCGCTCTTCCTGGGCCTTGCTTGTGGGGCGCCCGGGTGAGGAATGCTGATACATACGTTTCTAAAAAACGGAAACAGGCTGCATAACTACTCCCTATATTCTAAATTCTAAACTGTTTTGGCTTTTCTAGATGCATTGATTTTACTATGCATTTAGGCATAGAATATATCTAAGTGTATACCAAAACTGTGAATCAAAAAAATCAAAACATCTTATAATTCAGAGTAGAGGCAGTATTTATGTTTTTCCCCTTTTTTATGAAATTTGAGAGTTGACTGCGGTGGCTGAGCTTTAGGCGTGCTTGACCTACCATGGTTGATCATCAAGAATCACGAGGGGCGGGTACTGGTGGGCGGGTAGGGGTCGAGGACGGTGAAAAAAAAACGAACGCGAGGCATCCACAAGTGACAAACAAATTAATTGTAAATATAAAAAGTTTTCGACTAGGTTCGCTTGTCACATTAAGGTGGGAGATTCACATGCGTTGGATCTGATTTTAAAAGTAGATCTAAGGGGCAAGAATTAATGTGGGTAGGAAATATCAGGGTGAGAAGCTATTTTCAATTTCTTCCTCTTTTATAGTGTGATGATAGAATAGAATAGAATAGATAGATACTCGGAATTCAACTAACAAACGCATACCATAATAAGAATAAAATAACACTTCCTATTATATGAAAAACTAACAAACGCATACCATAATAAGAATAAAATAACGCTTCCTATTATATCCCAAATTAAACACCTTTAAGTGGTACAAAACCTAGCTACATTTCTAAAACCAAATAAGCATTATGTAAAAAATATATACATTGGTGGATTTAATTAATCTAAGTTGGTGTTAGGCTACGTTTGGCACAGCTCAGCTTCACTAGTGGAGCAGGTTTTTTGGCTTCAGCTCCATGAACGGTTCTACTGGTGAAGCTAAAGCTATTTTGATAAACCATTTAGCAAAATAGCTCTATATGTGAAACTCCTTAAAACATGCTCTCATAAATCCCATGCAGGGGCCCATCAGAGGAGTTAAAGTTGGGAGAAGCTACTATTTTAGCTTCATCCCACACCAATCCCTTGTGAGGGCATGCTTTAAGAAACTTCACAAATGAAGTTTTTAAAAAAAAACTTGTTTGGCACAAAACAACTTGTGAAGCTGCTGGAGAAGTTGTGCCAAACACGACCTTAATGTTGGTGTGGGGTTGACGTTTTGTAATAGGGGTACCCTCATATATACTGAATAGTAAATTTATAGTCATGTGTATAGCCTTGGATGGCTGGCATTCAGAGACTCAGGATTTCTACGGGTTCAGGCAATGTGCCCTATGTCCAGTTTGATGATGTTTGATTATGTTCCTATGCACACGAGAGCTCGATGTTTCTAGTGGGGGTTACAATTGGGGAAAAAGAGAGGGAAGGCAGTCTAAAATCAAGAGAGAGTTCAGTTGAGAGACTGACTTCTCTAGCCTTTGAGGGAGCAGGGTTACACTGTGAGAGAACTTTCATGTGGTGCGAGTCCTAGGGAGTGGTGGCGTGTGTTGTTGCTGCACATTACCTCATGGGAGGCGTTCCTCCCCTATTGAATTGGACAGCATGTGTCGTGGATGTCTCCCACAACCATGCTGATGTAAGGATGATGTTGTGACCCCATGCTTGGGGGTAGGTGGAATATTGCTCTACAGTGCTGGTACAATAGTGTTATAGTGTTTCTATATCCCACACAGAAGACAACTAGGTAGCACCCCATCTCGTTGAAACGGTCGGTTTTTTCTGACTTGGTTATGTGGACAGGAGGTGTCGAAGAGATGGGGAGTCATGTTAGTATATGGTTTCCATGGAAACATACCCTTATGCCCTTGAATCATGCCATACTCGGGCTGGCACTATGGGCCAAAGAACAGGGCCAAGCATGGCACTAGCCCCACATGACTCATGTAAGGTTCAACTCTATAACTATTAGGACTAGGCAAAAAATGCCGAGAACTAAAAATCAAACCAAAAATACCGAGGACTAAACTGAAAATATCGAAACCGACGTTTTCAGAAAAAACCTTGTTCGGTAAATTTGGTTCTTTACCTCAGTAAATCAAATTTCCCGAACATATCTAGAGGCCTAGTATAGATACAACCCAACCCAGCTGAATCTCAGACTCTGTGACTCAGAACACGAACCCTAGTCCACTCAGCCTCATAGTGACTTCCTCATGGCCCAACCCCACCATTGGCCAGATACGTTGACTTTCTATTAAAAAACTTAGTGGACCCACTGGCCACCGGGCTGCACAGCCGGCCGCCACGCCACTAGTAGGGATGCAGGGCTGCGTGCCACCTGCCAGGATGCCAGGAGTAGCAGGCCATAGGTGGCCACTCTTTCCTTCCCCGCCTGGCCGCCACCCGCTCTCCCTCTTCCGGAGACGTACGATGGCTACTTCCATTGTTATTATCTATGAAATTATGTCGAAATTGGCTTCTAAACCTGCTGTTAGTTGCCTCTATAATATTTTCAGTGTTTTTCAGTAAATACAGAAACCGAAAAAAAAATACCAAAACTGAATTTCCTCGAGACTGATTTTTAGAAGAAACCAATTGGTACATGTTTTTTGAGGAACTGAATTTCTGTGGGAACAAAGAACCGGACCGACCGGTTTGGAAATACCTAATGGCCAGGCCTAGTCAACTATGGGTGTTGTTCCCTACAGTTAATTATGGTGTTGTTCCCGATACGGCAATGGGGGAAGAAGATGGAATTCTTATTTTAGTCAAGGAAGACAGGTTAGTTGACTTGTGGCGTGGGAGCAGTGCAAGTATACTCAGTAAGTTGATAATGTCCGTGAACTTTACTATTAATTAACTGCTTGTCACTTGTGGTAGCAGTGGTTCTCTCCAATCTCAACAAGCGCGTTAGGTGCGGTCCTGATGATGTCTGTTACCTGGAATTTTCTCTGTTGAACGGGTCATCATCTGGATTGTTTATGGCGCGCGCATGTAGTAGTGGGCGGCTACTCAATTGTAAAGTGTTGTTCAAGCCTCATAGGAGTGGCTAAATGACCTGAGGGAGGGAGTATTATAAAGCAGGCCAAGCAACAATGCAATGATCAACGCAGGTCTTGTTGCATTGCGATGGCCTTCCAGACCGATAAGCTTCCGCTGCGACCAAGCTGCATCCCTTGTTCTTCCAGCACGATCCTGCTCCTCCTCATATGCTTCCTTGTAGTACTCTGTCGTTGCTCTGGCAGTGGCTCCGATGACCAGAATTATTACACCCTGAGCTCTGCATTCAATCAGACGGATGGCGGCCTCCTTTTCATCGCCAATCCAAATACTACCATACGTAAGGTGTCAGGTGGCCTGGGATCTTACATCAGAGGTAACGATTCCCACAATCTGTCATTCAACTTGTCCGACAACGGCTTGTTCTTCATCCCTCATCCCATCTTACTATGGGCGTATGGCGATGACGGGGTGACCTTCCATGAGGCATCGTTCAACATCAACTTCACTATGAGCATCTACCAGCCGGAGAACCAGACAAAGAGCACCCTGGTGTTCGCCATCCAACCTTCACTCGTTTATTATATAGGGTATCCCATTTCTTCTCCACCGATTGGGACCTCCAGCCACACATCGTCATCGTCGTCCAGCAACAGCACTGTGGCCGGCAGCCATGTCTCTGCTCAGACCACCACCGTTTACGGGAAAATAAATGATCCCCGTAATAAAACAAATAGAGTCGCCGCCGAGCAAGTAAGCTTGGTACAGATTGACATAGAGTCGCCGCCGGGCAATTCCTCCGGACTGGGGAGCAGGTACAGCGTGTGGATCGATTATGACCGCATCGAGCACAGCATCTCCGTCTCCGTCGATGCTACCCAAGGAACACCGAGCACGGCCACAGCCAACGGGGTCCTCAAACTCAGCAGCATCATGACACCATTTGCATCCTTGGGCTTCTATTCCACCATGGGGCAACTCTTGCAGCTTAACGCATGGAGCTTGACGGCCGAAAGGCTCCCCTATTCCTACTCCTATCCCTCGCAGGGGAAGCTCAAGGGGAACAATGGCAACGCCATCATATTGTCCTCGGTCCTTGGATCCACGGCTGCTGTTGCCATCACTGCGACTGTTGTATACGTCTACTTCAACTCCAAGTACAGGAAGTGGATGAAGGAGCAGGACAAGCTCGCCAAAACCATGCAGCGCCTCCCTGGGGTGCCAACCCAGGTCGACTACGCCGACATCAGAAAGGCCACCAAGAACTTCCATGACACCATGAAGCTCGGGAAGGGCGGAGTTGGGGCTGTGTACCGATGCACGCTCCCCGCTGCTTCCTTGAGGATGGGGCGAGGGATGGAGGTGGCAGTGAAGAAGTTCATGAGGGATGTTGAGGACCGACGCTACGACGACTTCCTGGCGGAGGTTAGCATCATCAACCGTCTACGCCACAAGAACATAGTCCCACTCGTCGGTGAGTAACTAGTCACACTGCATGCCCTCTCCCCTATCTTCCTTTTACATGTGGACTATTTAATTTGTCTATCGTATTAATGGCGCCTAAACGGTCTAGTGCTCCTTTATCATTTTCATTGTTTTATTATAAAGTAGTCTAATGACACTTTAATTAACAAGCAGCCCTAGACGACTGACTGACTAAATGTTTTGTCTGTACCAGCAAATATACATTTAAATACTTAAATAGCTAAAGCACGCTATACTCTGTCGTATAAAGATAGTTTTGTTTCCTTTCCTTGGTTGACTATTAGGTCGGGTAGCCTTGTGCCAGCTCAGGAACTTCCCAATGTTGGCTAACCTAAACAATCGAGAGATCAAGCAATGCAGGGAGAAAGAACGCAAGAACACAATGTGCACGATGGCAACTGCCCGGATGACGACCGGGAGACAATGCCCTTTTTCACTCTCGATAACAATGAGTACAATAACGATTACAAAGTGTCTAAGGAGCTAACTCACTCCTTGACGCACCCACTACTTAACCCAGTAAGTGGTTTTGCTAACACACACAGAAACTGTAACAATCACACGATACATGTTGCCACAATGCAACTGACTCGACACAGACGCACCCTAAATATGGTCACCGCAGCGACAACCGTTCCCGCCTTGCGCCTGGATTCAAACGAGCGCGCCCGAGCTCCAACTTCCCGCTCCTGCTTAGCTCCTGCTCCAAGGTCACTTGGCTTCAGGATTACACCAACAATCTCTCCCTAATCCTGAAGCCCACTGAGATCACTAACTCCAAGCAAGTGTCTCATGACAGCAAGCTTGCCTGCTGGTAGAGGCTTGGTCAGAGCATCAGCTTTCCGTTCCTCTGTACAAACTCTCTTCACTGCAATCTGCTCCCTCTCCACACACTCTCTAATGAAATGGTACTTAATATCTATGTGTTTGCTTCTACCATGGAATATTGGGTTTTTCATCAGAGCTATTGTAGAGTTATTGTCAACAAACAATGTCACCATTTTGGGCTCCTTTGCAGTGATTTCAGCCATCAAACTCCTTAACCACAAAGCCTGCATTGCTGCAAAAGTGGCCGCCATGAACTTTGCCTCACAGGAAGACAATGCCACGGTCTTTTGTTTCTGAGAGCACCATGTGATCAGGCTTTCACCAAGGTAGAATGCCATACCAGCTGTACTCCTCCTTCCAACCAGATCACCACCCACATCACTATCAGTGTATCCCACTAACATCTCCTCTGATCCTCCTTGAGTATAGACCAACCCAAGATCAACTGTACCCTTCAAGTACCTGAGGATCTATTTGACTGCATTCATGTGCATTACTGTGGGCTTCTCCATGAATCTACTGGCAATTCCTACTGAATAGGCCAAGTCTGGTCTTGTGTGCAACAAGTACCTTTGTCACTGTGCAGCTTTGCTCCTAGATCCATTGGAAACTTTGTTGCATTACACTAACCCATGCCAAACTGATCAAATACCTTCTTTGCATAACAAGTTTGCTTGACAGTGGTAAAATCTTTATACTGCCCAACTTCTATGCCCAAGTAGTAGGAAAGCAACCCAAGATCAGACATCTCAAACTCACTTGTCATCTGCTTCTTAAACTCATTGATCTTTGCTGGGTCAACTCTAGTGACAATTAAATCATCCACATATACTCCAAGAATGATTGCATTTTTTCTTTCACCTCTGATATAGACAACTTGTTCACTTGCACATCTCCTGAACTTGAGTTTCTTCAGGCTTTTGTCCAGCCTTACATTCCATGCTCTAGGGGCTTGCCTGAGACCATACAAGGCCTTGCTTAGCTTCAGAACATGTTGTTCTTTCCCCTTCACCACATACCCTTCAGGTTGTGATACATACACCTCTTCCTCAAGCTCTCCATGCAAGAATGCTGACTTCACATCAAGATGATGCACTTGCCAACCTCTGTTGGCAACCAATGCTAGGATAAGCCTCACTGTATCAAGTCTGGCAAGAGGAGCAAACACTTCATCAAAATCAACTCCCTTTTTTCTGAACATAGCCCTTTGCTACCAACCTAACCTTGTGTTTCACCACCTCACCATCTGAATTTTTCTTCAATTTATACACCCACTTCAAACCAATGGGTTTGTGCCCAACTGGTAGCTTACACAAATTACAGGTTTTGTTCTTCTCAATAGATTGTATCTCCTTATCCATAGCATCATCCACTCTGCAAAACCTGCAACCTCTTGATAATTTGTTGGTTCCTCCATTTCCACCAATAGTGCTTCACCATCTAAATCATACATCAATTCAACTACTGAAAAATTCTGATAAATGTCAGACAGGCTTCAGAGCTCTCCCCAATTGATGCACTAGCACCTGCCGATGGAATGTCAAGCTCAAACTGTGGTTGCACAACAGGTGTTGAAGTACTCCCTAGAATTAGGCCTGTTGTCGGATTTCTATCAGTGTTCACAACAAGGCTGTGCTCACCAGCACCATTTCAGTTTGAGCTCCTAGAGACTGTAGCATTTCTGGCACACCACCACTGCTACTTGTTGTTGTCTGTGACTAACTCCCACCATCTCCTGCTGCTGCATTTGGCACTGAATCAATCACTACTACATTTCCTCCTCCTACATGCTCAACACCGACACACTGTCATCCAGCACCTGAAACTCCAACTCATCATCACCATCACATTGTGTTGACCACTTTCACTTGACATTTTCTTCAAAGACCACATCTCCACTCACAACTATCTTGTTGTGTTGAGGATCATAGAACCTGTGGGCCTTGCTTCCCTCCTCTACACCAAGGTAAACCATTTGGTGGCTTCTGTCATCAAGCTTTTTTAGGTGAGGCACTGCTGCCCTCACATTGGCAGTACACCCAAACACCCTCAAATGCCCAAGATGTGGTTTTCTCCCATTCCAAGCCTCATAGGGAGTACAATCACCCATAGCCTTAGTTGGCAAATGGTTCAACAAATAAACTGAATGCCTGACAACCTCTCCCCAAAGCCTTGTAGGGACTCCTATGTTGTTCATCATAGACTTGGCCATCTCCATCACTATCCTATTCCTCCTCTCTACAACCCTATCTTGATCCCATCACTCTCACACACATCTCTGAATGCCATTGACAGGAACTCACCTCCTCTGTCAGACCTGACAGTTTTGATCTAAAGCCCAACCTGATTCTCAGCTTTAGCTTTGAACTTGACAAATGCATCACACGCCTAATCCTTTGTCTTGAGCACATACATAGCCATCCAACGTGTACAATCATCAACAATCAACATGAAGTACCAGTTTCCTGCTGCAGTTGATGGAGTGATGGGCCCGCATCAGATCAACATGCAGCAGCTCCAATGGCTTGTTTGCTCGCCACTGCGCTGCCCGTGGAAACGGCATACAAGTCTGCTTCCCCACTAGGCACGCATGGCACACCTCCTCCGGGTGCGTGATCACCGGCACACCGTCGACCATAGACTTGTTGATGATTTGCTTGATCGACTAGAAATTGACATGTCCTAGTCGCCCATGCCACAGCCATGCCTCATCACTGACGCTCGTCAGAAAACACACTGGCGTTGTTTGATTCAGATCAATCCGATCTGATCGGTTCTAAGATCGCTCCACCTTCATGATCAACTTCACTAAAACCTTGTCACACACCTCCAAGGATATCATCGTCCATCACGATTCGATGCTCACTCTCCGTCAGCTGACCTAGGCTCACAAGGTTGCTCTAGAGTCTTGGAATGTAATAGATGCCCAAAAGCACCCATTGATCACCTGTCTTGCATATGAACAAGATCGACCCCTTCCCCTTGATCTCCACCGATGAGCCATCTCCAAACCGAACCTTCTCCATGATCCCCTCATCCAACTCTACGAACTTCTACAAATCACCAGTCATGTGATTGCTGGCACCGTTGTCAAGGTACTAGCTATTGCTGGTCTGCTCGCCGCCCCCAGTCAAATGGAGTTCAAGGAACACCTTGGCTTCTGTCAGGTTAACTGCTCTCCGCTCATTGCCTGACATCACCTCCTCTGAGACAGCAAGCATGAGCGCTTGTGGCTGCTCAACGCCCTCCGTCTTCAAATGGTGAGCCTCATCGCCCTTCTGCTCCGACGGACACCGGTTTGCATAGTGCACGTACTTGTGGCATTTGAAGCATTGGATGTGGCTTTTGTCCTTCCCACGGCCAGCGCCTTCTTTGCCTGACGCTTCACCATGCCCTCCTCGACCACGACCTCCCCCACCACAGCCTCTCCCTCTACCACGGCCGCCTCCGTCCTGTGCCTTCCCTCTCCCCGAGGAATCACCCATTGGACTTCTTCTGTCGCGCCTCCCATTCAGCCTGGGTGCGCAGCAACTGGCCACCATCGCCACGAGCATTCACTGCTCCCCATCGTGTGCGCTCCTCAAAGGCCCTCAGCCGACCCACGGCTTCGTTAGATGCCAAAGTCTTGAGATCATAAAACTGCTCGATCCTGGCCATGGCGTTGAGGAAATAGTCGGTCACGGTGTCGAACAGCTTCTTCACCATTACCAAATCCTCCAACGACCCGCCAACGTTGTTGTACCTCACCGACATCGCCGTCAGCATCCCAGCGTATTGGTCGAGCGTCTCCTCCTCCATCTTTAGTGCGTCGAACTCCGCCTTCAAGGTTTGCAGGCGCGCGTCTTTCACATGCTCTACGCCCACGAATCGCGCCTTCAGGGAATCCCAAACCTCCTTCCCTATCTTCTTCTTTGCCACTTGCATCAGCAAGTCGTCCGACAAGCACTAGAATAGGTGCGCCCGCACCTTCTTGTCCTTGCCAGCCGCCGTCTTCGACTGCTTGTCCGCCGAGCTCCCCTCCGGTGGCTCCACCACCTCCCACCACCCCTGCTCCTCCATGATCGCCTGCACCCGAATGCTCCAGCTGGTGTAATTCGTCGCTGTCAATGTCGGAAACACCTGATGGTGTCGCCGCCACTCCCTCGACCTCCATCACCACCCGCCAGCGA